GTAGAAGTGGAAAATCTCCTGCGCTCTGTACAGCTACTGTGTGTGGTATTGGAGCAATTAACCCAGGAGCTGTAGAGAGTTGATTTTTAGGCTTTTAGTAGTTAACCTATAGCAGAGCTGTTTATGAGAGGTTTGAGAAGACAAGTCAGAGACCTAAAATGGGGTTCATTCTAGTGATTTCTACTCTAATAAGCACCATTTTGAGTTATGAATGCCTCCCTTGTGAACATGCCCTGCATGCCTGATTGGCTGGTTATTTGCCATTATATTTTCCCAGCTACCCCATGAACACACATAACCCACTAATCTTATTAGGTGCACTGTTTAGGGGTCACGGGTCAACAGTCTTGGCAAGGGGCTGGTCTGTTAAATTGACAGGTTCAGTCTCTTCTTTATCTCTCATTTCTCTAAGCAAGGATGATTTAGATTTATCCCCTTCCCCCTCCCTCCTCCCCCCCCCCCGTTTTTTCTTCACCCAACTCTGTTACTTTTTCTTAGAAAACTTCTCTACATAGGTTGTCCTTTTCTTCCTTTCAATTCCTGTCTGGCTATATAGGGAGAAATGTTGCTCCAACTTCTTCCTCTGTTCCTCCTCTTCTTTTCTTTGTTCCAAGAGTGAACCAAAAAATGACAGTGATGATTATAGATAATAGTAGTGCTTCCTCTCAAGGAAAAGGCAGGTTTTGAGTTGGAACATGATATATGGTATTTTATTGAATCTAAGATGCCACTGATTGGGAAATGCACCATTATTTTATAGATCAAAAAGAAAGAGAATATGAATGTCTTAAAATCAACACTGTCAATATCTGAAAAAGTATTCTGAAGATGCTTTCAGAATATGATAGGCTAGATGATCTAATTATCTTTACCAGTGACAATTTTAACATCACTAATAAGGGACCTATGGACAATATAAAATGCATACATACATTGTGAATAATTCTTGCTTCCATACTTAACTCAATCAAGTCTTTAGATCTATCTTCCAGTCTACAGGAAATAGAAGGAATAGAGGAATTGGTTAGACTATACTGTGTGGAAACAGACATAGCCGGAAGGTGAGACATTCAACAAGAAAATTGGCCTCAGCTTACCAGTAAGTCAGTGTCTTGGGGAAAACAGGGCAGTAGGGGAGAGACCATTCTGGATTCAAAGAGACTTTTGAGACATAGCAATCAAATGTGAGGTATGATCCTTTATATCCTAGAATGAACAAATCAGCTGTAAGAGACTTTTTATAATAGGGAAATTTTATTTTTTTAAAGATTTATTTATTATTTGAGAGAGAGAGTGAGCGAGTACAAGCGTGAGCAGGCGGGGGGTGGGCAGAGGGAGAGGGAGAAGCAGGCCCCTCACGAATCAGGGAGCCTAACGTGGGGCTCAAGCCCAGGATCATGACCTGAGCTGGTGGCAGATGCTTACCTGACTGAGCCACCCAGGTGCCCCAGGGAAATTTTAAATATGAATATTGTATCAGGTGGTGGTAGCATTGTCTTCTTAGGTATGATAATAATGCAGTTTTGCGGGGCACCTGAGTGGCTCAGCCTAAGCGTCTGCCTTCGGCTCAGGTCCTGGTCCCAGGGTCCTGGGATTGAGCCCCACGTTGGGCTCCCTGCTCAGTGGAGAGCCTGCTTCTCACTCTCCCTCTGCCTGCCACTCTCTCTTAAATAAAATCTTAAAAAAAAAAATGCAATTTTGCAGAAAAATGTCCTCAAATTTTATATGTTACTTTGCTTTTATTCTTAACAGAATACAATTGACCCTTGAACAACATGGGGCTTGGGGTGCCTACCCTCACCCCCCTGCAGTGGAAAATCCGAGTGTAACTTTTGACTCCCCCAAAACTTAACTACTCATAGCCATGTGTTGACTGGAAAGCTCACCAATAATATAAAGCTCAACCAAAAACATTAATACATGTTTTGTGTGTTACATGTATTATATATTGTATTTTTACAAAAGCTAGAGAAAAGAAAATGTTATTAGGAAAATCATAAGGAAGAGAAATACATTTACAACACTGTACTGTATTTATGGAAGAATTCACACATAAATGGACCTGTGCAGTTCAAACCTGTGTTCAAGGGTCAACTGTACTCTGAAAATAATAAGGCTCTTCACCAGGTTTCCAATTTTAATTTGGTAGATACACTGTACACAGAACAAAATCATGTAAATGTTGTAACAAAGAAATGAGGCCCAGAAGTGTAGTGTATATAGGTATTTAAAAAATGTCAAATTCAGCTGGAAGAGTTCTAAAGCAATCAGAAGAATTTTCAGAAACTACAGAACATCTAGCAGGCAAGGACTGTCCTCAAATGTCAGGCAATATGTCGCCCTTGTGCTGTCACTTTCCACTTCCTAGTAATACGTGTTGCTGATCAATCATGGTTTTCCTTCCTGTTTAGGAAATGGGGCCACTGGATCAATGTTTTCTACAGCCACTACCAATTAATAACTTGGTACTTGCTGTGAAACCTATTTTACCGCCTCTCAGTCAAACCCATTCATTTTGCAGAGCGGAAGCCGAGGCAGGGTGGTATGGTGGAAGGTTTGAGGACATACATGAGTTAAAAGAGTCACAGGATTTCTTCAGTGCCAGAGTACTTTATGAGCTAACAGATGTTTAGTGTGAATTTTATTAGTTTCTCAAATAGTTACCATTTTGGAAGTTTGTTTGGAGTTGGGTATTTAGAAGATCCCTTTTGCCATGAAATGATACTCAGGATCTCAAGAGCAGCACACTAAGCCAGTGTAAACCAGAGATTGAAGTTAGAAACAGTATCAAAGTTGAATGCTATTACTGAGTTCCATGTATTGGATATCGTGAATTTAATATTGCATCACTCTGAATTTTCTTTTAAAAAAATGTGTTGAGTCTCTAATTTGTCTTAAGAACAGTTGGTTTTATATCAGCATTTAAATTGACTTTTTAAAAATTGTTATTCACTTATTATATTTAATCTTTAGTTCTCCATATGTATTACTTGTACCATCATAATTACATTTCTTAAAAAAAGAGAGATGACTTAGTAGTGAGTTTTCTGGTTTGTGCTGCATTATTGGGATTTGGCAACTCTGGATTTCCTCTTCAGGATTTCCTAGAGCCCCTCAGATGCAAACAGTTCCTAGCAGTGTAATGTGTTTTATTGTTTAATGACTTTCAAATGAGCTTGGTTGTATCCTCCTTTAGCAGATTATTTAGCTGATGCTCATCACTGTGGTAGAGAGTAGACTAGTTGAGAATCAGTGTTTCATTAGATCATTTATATTACAGTCTTATTTTGGGAGAAGATTCATCTTCTGTGAATTCATTTAATCTGTATCAAATGCCAGTGACCCGTGGTGGGGGAAAGTGTAGACCACATAGAAGTTTCATTTATAGTCGGGTTATTAGTTGAGTTCATTTTCCAGATATTTATGAAGGCGTAGCAGTGACAATAGGAACCACAGCCCTCATGCAGGGTTGTGGTGCTGTGCAAGTGACGTGCTTGTACATGATAACTTAAAAAAATCTTTACAAATGTAAGGCTTTAAAAAAAAAATGAATGAGGCCACCTAGGTGGCTCAGTTGGCTGAGCGACTGACCCTTGGTTTTGGCTTAGGTCGTGATCTCATTGGTTGTGGGATTGAGTCCTTCGTGGGGCTCCACACTCAGTGGGGAGTCGGCTTGAAGATTCTCTCCCCGATTCTCCCCCCACTTACTCGTGTGCTTGCTCTCTCAAATAAATAAAATCTTTAAAAAATAAAAATAAATATATGCACAAAATACAGGATTTCTATAGTGTTTGGTCTCATACTGCCTTTTTTGGGAAAGTTCAGACAGTTGTTTTCATTTTGTTTTGGATTGTAGTGTTAAATGTGGAGTTCCTTTTTTTTTTCTGAAGAGCATGATAGTTTATCTGAAAAAACTGCACTGTATCAATCATGGTGATCATGCACATGATGGCTTTTTGTTGGATATTGACATTATGGTATTTTTTTTTTTTAAGAATTTATTTATGAGAGAAAGAGAGAGTGAACGTGCACATGCACGAGCAGGGAGGAGAGGGAGAGGGAGAAGCAGGCTTCCCGCCGAGCAAGGAGCCCAGTGTGGGGCTTGATCCCAGGACTCTGGGATTATGACCTGAGCCGAAGGCAGATGCTTAACAACTGAGCCACCCAGGCGCCCCATGCTGCTGTTTTTAAAATGTGGATTTCCTTTACCTGTGTTCTGCCTGTTTGTTTTTCTGGTTCAATTCACATTGTAGTACTAGTCCTTTTATTCTAGTTTTGCTTTTCCAAATAAGTGCTCCTTTTTTATGAATTCTCAATAGGTGTTAACATTTATCATAATAGTTGTTTATCTTTTGGTAGTATCTGGTGAACAAATGATTCATCCAACAAATGCCATTTTCCCTTATGAGGATTATATAAATATTTTAGTCCATTTTCCCCTATTATTAAATTATTTCGGTTGTATTTTTCACATCATTAATATTTATTTATGTTTATTCTTATGTTACTGATACCATAATCATTGGAAATAAGAATAATTATTCCATCTGACTAGTTTTGTAGGGTCCATGTGTTGCTTAAAAAACTTATTTCAGAAAATGTTTTCCTTTAAACAGTGCTCAGTACATAAAACATAAACCACAAATTTGTTGATTGGTTAATTTTTTTTTTTTTGATTGGTTAATTTTTGAAGTTAAATTTTACTTGACAAAGTGGCAGTGATGGAAGATATGTGACTAGCCTTATAAGCTTCTTTGCAAACGCTAAACATTTATTTTGACAGTTTTGCTTCAGTCTTTTATACTAAGGAGAAATACCCCTTTGTAAAAGTTTCACCACCTTTAAATAATTTGAAGTGATAATTTTTCTTTTTTAAAGATGACTCTAGCTTCATATTTCTGCACATCTTAGACATAATTATGCAAATTAGGATTTTTTCATAATTATGTCAATTTTGCTTCATTAGTCATATTTTTTATTAAATATTTGTTCATTTGCAGGTATATTTGCTTACTTAAACTACCATGTTCCTCGCACAAGACGAGAAATCTTGGAGACCCTAATCAAAGGCCTTCAGAGACTGGAGTATAGAGGATATGATTCTGCTGGTATTTCCTTTTAAAAAAATATAAGTTTTGCATGATTCTTGAATCTAAAGAGGTTTTTTGTATGTTTTAGTTGACTAGATTCTTTAGTAATATCTGTTTTGAGTAAACCTAAAAACAAGAATTTTTGTCCTTTGTCATGTTTAAAGGGTTTATACATATAATTTCAGTAGTGTTACCATTTCTACTACTTCTTAAGGATATCTGCCTTTGTTAAGAATGTTACTGTAAAAACATAAATCACCTGGGACATTTTCATGGTAGAACACAGTTCTTGAAGGCCTTATTTTATAAATTATCTTTTTTCTTTCCTGTAATTTCTTTTTCTCCAAGGATTCCCTGATGTTGGCATATACACTTAACCTGAGATTCTTCTACCTTAAATAAATGACAAAGCAAATAAAAATAACTTTTTGTTAACTTTGTGTTCTACTCTGGCTCCTTTCCTTAACTGTGTCAGGGGTCCCCGCGACCGCCCTTGGTTCCGGTGACTCCTGAGGACGACTGAGCATATAGTGGAACTCATAGCTATGATTTATTACAATAAAAGAATACAAAGCAAAATCAGCAAAGGGAAATGGTGCATGGGGTGAAGTCTGGAGGATAATGAGGCACAAGCTTCTGAGAGTTCTCTCCAGTGGAGTGACACAGTGTGTGCTTAATTCCCCAGCCAGTTGTGACAATGTGTGTGAAATGTATATCAGAGAAGCTCATTAGTCACTCAGTGCCCATGCTTTTATTGGAGGCCGGTCACATAGACACCCTCTGCTTAATGCGTACCAAAATTCTAGACTCCCAGAATGGAAGCACATGTTCAGCATAAGCCACATTGTTTGCACAGTTAGGTGCAGTAAGCCATTCTTAATCAGTTAGGTAACCTTCCTGAAATCCAAGTTCCCAGATGCCAACCAGGGGCCAACTTTGCAAGCAGACCTTTCTAAGGAAAATGGTGTCAGGCTTGCTCTGTTAAGTCTTTATTCTTGATATGGCCAAATGTAATAGATGTTTGTTTTGTATGACTTTCCTCGGTTAATAGAAAGTGAACTCTTCAGCTCGTTTGTTCTTAAAATTCTCTCCTTCCTTAGCTTCTCTGACAACACATATTCTCTTCCTAACATGCTGATTCTTTTCTGTCTGCTTTGAGGGTTCCTTTTCTTCCACTTTTTGCTTAAATTTTAATGTTCTTTCAAGATTGTTTCCTAGGCCCATTTTTCTTACTTTGTATCTTCATGGGTGAGCTCTGACTTCATCAACCTCCTATATGTCAGTGACTTATAACCCACATGAATTTCCAAGCCGCAGACCTGTATTTCCAACTGCCCCTTAGAAATTTCTTCCTGGAGAAACCATGATACTGTAAACTTTGCACATCCAGAACTGAACTGAATACACTCCCCATTCTGTTCTTTCTGTGTTCCTTTATTCAGCAATCATTCAACAAGTGAGCCTAGGAGGTATCCTGGACTCAGGCTGCATTCTCACATTGCATCCAGACAGTTCTACCCTCCATATAACTGATCTCTGTCTTCATCACCACCGTTTGGTTCACGTGGCTATAGCTAGATCTTTTTTTTTTTTTTAAGATTTTATTTATTTGACAGAGAGAGAGCGAGAGCAGGAACACAAGCAGGGGGAGTGGGAGAGGGAGAAGCAGGCTTCCAGTGGAGCAGGGAGCTTGATGTGGGGCTCGATCCCAGGACCCTGGGATCATGACCTGAGCTGAAGGCAGACGCTTAACGACTGAGCCACCCAGGCGCCCCTATAGCTAGATCTTCTGACAGCTGGTTTCTTCTTCTCTTTCTCCCCTTCAGTCTGTACTCTGTTTCCAAAGAGAGTTTTTGAAACATTTTTGCCATGTGATTTCTTGATTTGAAACTACTCAGTGCTTTTCCAGTACCTTCAGGTCACTTTTTCAAATTCTTTAGGAACTTAAGTAGAATTTTGAGAAGTGTGTTTCCTGATGTTCCTTCCTTCTTCCCCTTCTGAAGTGGGTGCTGACCTTCTGTGTTTCTCCATTGTGCTCCAGTTGTCACCCAACCTGTAGGACTTGTTTTTCTTTTTAAACCTGTCGCACTTTTATTATAACTCAAACCCACACTGTGTATTGTAATTATTTTTTCCCTGTCTTCTGAATAGACTGTTAGAAATTTGAGGGAAACAATGGAGTTATTTTCATTTTTGTTTCTAGCAGCTATCATGTTTCTTGACATATAATAATAAGTTATCAGTAAATGTGAATTGATGAACAAATGAATTAGATGAAAAAATAATTTTTAATTAAAAATTTTGCCTCACGATGATAATCTAAGTAAGTTTCTAAATCTTGCTTTTCTGCCTCGATGATTTAGGTGTGGGAGTTGATGGAGGCAATGACAAGGATTGGGAAGCCAATGCCTGCAAGATCCAGCTCATTAAGAAGAAAGGGAAAGTCAAGGCACTGGATGAAGAAGTTCATAGTAATGTACTTAGTTTGAATTTTGTCCCCCCTCCCCTCCCTTTGCTTCCTTCTCCCTTCCCTACCAAATTCTCTTTCTTCCCATATTTTGGGGTCCATTTTAAGTATAGTGGTATTTAAAGTTGAGGAGAGGGAAGAAAGGTAGTTTTGTTACTGTCTCTACTAGTGTACAATGTACCTTAGTTTCAGAAATGACCATATTAACTGGGGAAGGAAAATAGGTACATTGTGTTCATAGCAAGCTCAGTATCCTAAAATGAAGTAAACACCATTCCTGAGGAAGGACCTTTCATAGGACAAAAGGTATTTTTAGTGGTGCCCTTATTCTAGTGTCTTCACTTGGTTGTCTTCACTTTGGAGTAAATGCCTCCTTTGGACATATAGTCAGTCTAGATGACTGTTTTTAGTAGATCTGATATAATCAGGTAAGTGTCATGTTTTTCCTTCAGGATTTTCTTCCCTGGCATAAAGTACTTGTCCAGAGATACATGCTTCATTAAAGAGGATATACTTCTCAGTATTTAGTTCATAACATTATGCTTATACGTTTTAATTTGTCACAGGAAACTTAAAAACAAAAGCTTTGAAGTAAATTGACTGAAAAAAAAAAAAAACCATTTAAAAAAAATTTTCCATAGGGGTGCCTGGGTGGCTCAGTCGGTTAAGTGTCTGATTCTTGATTTTGGCTCAGGTTATGATCTTAGGGTCATGAGATCGAGCCCTGCATCAGGCTCCGTGCTGGATGTGGAATCTGCTTAAGATTCTTTCTCTCCCTCTGCCCCTACCCTGCTCTGTCTCTCAAAAAAAAAAAAAATCTTCCACAAAACCCAGGAAACAGGTGTTTTTACGTACCTGCTCAAATGGATGCCACTGTAATCATGGTAAAGGAGTGCAGGTAGAAGAGGAAAATGATGGACTTAGTCACTTTTTTTTTTTTCCACATAAGCTGAATGTTTAGCTTTGTAGTACTTGCTGAACATACTTGATCAATACTTATTTTGCATGGATCGTGGGTAAGATTAGCTTAGGGATGAGGCAGGCACCCAAATAACTATACCTCAAAAACTGTAGTATAAATATTCAACCTACTGTGTGTACTGCATCCTGTATACCAGGCTGATTATAGTAGTTTCCGTAGGTGAGAATAAACAAGTTGCTTAAGGATGCAGGGGAGAGCTAGTTCCTGCTTGGGGCTGGGGTTGGAGAGACTTTGTATACGAAAGGAATGGCTGCTGATTCCATTTGGGCAGTCAAGGTGAGAAGGGAGGACCTCCTGAGTAGAATAGCGGGGCAAAGATAAGAATAGGGAAGCCAGCTTTGGTAGAATGGTGGGTAGTCCTTTTACTCTGCATTGTTGGTAGATGAGTGTGGGAGGCTAGAAGACAGACTGTAACCAGAATCACCATCTTTGCATATCAACATATTGAAACATGCCGCCTCCTGAAGGAAAGTCAAGAAGGGAGTCAAGAAATGGGAACTTGCAGACATTACTGGTGAATTTGTCATAAATCACTTTGAAGAGGAAGCTGGCAGTATCTAAATGGGAGTGCCTGTACCCTGTGACCCACCGCTTCCATTCTTGGGCATCTCCTTGAAAGAAGCTATGGACAAGGAGACGTGACAACAAGATTTGTTGCAGCAAAATGTGGAAACAGCCTAAATGTCTACCAGTAGGAGAAGGGAGATTTAAGAAAACACAAAAGAATACTAGCATTTGTGAACACATGTTAGGGTATTAGATGTTTAGAGGCGCAGGTGGGCGAGCTCTCCATCACCTTCAGAACCCCCTGGGGAGGGATGGCATGAGGCCAGGGCATAGGGGAGGCATCAGCTGCCTCCTTTTATTTTAGGTCTTAGAATCTGAAGCACGAAATGGTTAGATGTTCACATCTGTTAACTCTTCGTGTGGGTATTTGGATGTTTGTGGTGTTCACTTTATTACTCCGAGGAAGTTTCAGTGTTTGACCTGTTAAGACTTCCTTTGAAGGAAGTCATCAAAGAAAAGGCCATGAGATCGGTCATTGGTAACTTCTGACTTAGATGGTACTAGCTAACATTTATTGTTGCTTTCTGTGTCCTAGGCACTCTACTAAGTGCCTTACTAGTCCTCAGTATAACCCATGAAGTGGGTATTATCATCCTCATTTTGCAGATGAGGAGATTGAAACACAGGAGTAAGTACTGTCCAGAGGAAGAGGTGCTGTCATTAGATGGTGTCGGCAGTAAAGGCAGTGAAGTTTGGGGACAAAGGAAGGCTGCTATTTGTAACAAAAATTTAAGATTTTTAAAATATTTTATATCATAAGATTTAAAGCATGAACTTCAGGAAGGGTCAAGGATTGGCAGTCATGGTATATCTATAAAACATGAAATATTTGTTAGAAATATGCTTATTGTCATAGTAATGATTTTTTCTTATTAGGCTTTAGATAATTTTCTTTTGGCAACAGTGAAATAGGTATGATAATTACTGTGAATTTGAATTGGATTCAGTCTGTAGACTCTTGTTATTTTCTTCAGTGTTGCTTGCCAGCATGGCCACGGGGTGGGGATGGAGGGTGGGTGCCTTGATTATAATTAGCCTAATAACAAAGTAGTCAGATGTTTTCATTGCTTGCATTAGCCTGTTGTGATAAACAGTAATACTTTACTTTTCTGGAGGTTATTTATCAGGTCACCTTAGTTATTCAGGACACAGTTAAGCCAGGAAAGAATACATTGATGATTTTATCTGTTGGTTGATTGAGCCATCCAACAAAAATTTGAATAACTGCCCTATATAGCTTATTGCTTGGGATTCAAAGATAATAAGGCAAGCTGCTGCTTTTGTAGAACTTAAATCCTGGTAGAAGCCAGGTTGACACATGTCATAAGTGTTACAATAGTACAGCAGAGTATACCATTGTGGTTTTAATTTCCGGCTCTGGAGTCAGCCGGACTTGGGGTCACATCCTATTTCTGCTTCCTATTGGGCCTAGGACAGGTTCTCTGACCTCTTAGAGCCTCAGTTTCTTTATCTATAAAATGGGGACAAGAGTACCTAACAGAGCATTGTAAAGATTCAGTAACAAAATGAATATTTCTTAAATACTCTCTTCCAGCCATTGTGCCAGGTCCTGGTGACACAAAAGAGAACAAGATAGGCAAACTCTCTGGCCTGATGGAGCTTACTGTCTAGTGAGGGCCAGACAACAAATATATAACGTTAGGTAGTGATTAGTGCTATGAAGAGAAACTATAGTAGAGGTGACATGTAAGCAGAGAATGCATTATTGTCTGAAGGGGGAAATTTTAGGCAGAGGGAACACCCAAGTGCAAAGACTCTATGTGGGCATGGCCTTATAGCTGAAAGTCAGTGGGCTAGAGCACAGTAAGTGAGGGGGAGAGTGCAGGAGATGAGCTGGAGAGGTGACTGAGGACGAGGTCATGTAGGGTCTTCAGAAAGATGGATTTTACTTCATGTGCCATGTGAAGCCATTGGGAAGGTTTTGCATTAGGGGATTGACATGATTTAATGGGATCATTTGGTTAGTGTGCAAAGACTAGATTGTACAGAAGGAAGATTGGACATTGGGAGACCAGTCAGGATTCTGTTGAAGTAGTTTAGTTGATGGTTGCTTGGGTCATACTGTTAGGGATAGGGCAATGAGAAGTCTTAAGTCCTAGCATCAGGTAAGTTCTCAGTAAATCTTGGGTGTTATTTGCAAAAGGTGTGTTGAGGGCTTTGAGGGGTGATGGGCGAGGTGGGGGAATAAGAATGTAAAGGCAGCTGGGGCCAGATGGTGGAGGGCCTCGTACCCACAGAAAGGCACTGGGGCTTTATCTTGTGAGAAAATGGCTCTCTGGCTCTATGTGAGAATTTGAGGATCTTTTTATAAATTCCCGTGAGCAGGATTAAGATGATTCATATGGGTAGCTAGGAATGCAAACCACTTTTTAAGCAATGGGCATCTGTTCAAAGATTTTAAGCATTGTGTTTTGATCACATTTATGTGTTAGAATGATGTCTGATTAGCCAGTATAAAACCATAAAGACTGTGCTAAAATAAAACGCAGGGACTTTCCTATTTGAGACTTCTGAGCAGTTTGCTCTTCTTAATTTAGGCCTAATTCTCATAGGCTTGGTTATCTGGTTTCTTTGCCAAATGAATTTTATATTTAGGAAATCAGAAGGGGGGCATTACTAGTAAATACTAGAACTGCCTTTTTTTTCCTTCGAAAAAAGCAGGAAGAGATAGCTTATAGGGAAAAGGAATCAGAATAGCTGCTTTTCAAGATAAAGGAACATCCTTTATATAACCCCATACTTTCATGGTGTTCTATTCTCAAAGACTATTCTTTGATTTTAGAAGCTCTCCATAATTGCAGTTTATATTGTGAGATATGTTTACATTCACTGAGGACCAAAGAAATTGCAGTCATAAGGTTGTGTGGCACTGAGAATGTGAATTTATTTTTACATGTTTAGTTAAAGCAGTACTGATTTTTTTTCAAGTCAGAGATTAAATATAGATTAAAAAAAATCACATTAACTTTTTTTGTCCATAATCCTTCAGTTTGAAAATTATCAAGTCTTCAGAAAAGTGGAAAGAATAGTGCATTAACCACCCATATACTTCATCTAGTTTTACCAGTTGTTAGTACTTTATCACATTTGCTTTATCTCCCTGGTTGTTATTGGATTCATTTGCCCTAAATATTTGAGCTGCATTAACTCCTGAATCTTTTAATTACTATTTTGAATATGGCTGATCTTCAGTTTCAATAATTGTATATTTCAGGTGAGCAGCACTGTAATAATTATATTTAAATATACCTTCTAGCATTATCTCTACAGCGTGATTTAATAATGGAATTTTTCATATTCTTCAGAACAACAGGATATGGACTTGGACATAGAATTTGATGTACACCTTGGAATAGCGCATACCCGTTGGGCAACACATGGAGAACCCAATCCTGTCAATAGCCATCCCCAGCGCTCTGATAAAAATAATGGTATGGACACATTCTACATGCTTTGGAGTGATTGTAGGGGGGTCAATAATGGGAGAAGAATGAAGGCTCTTATGCTTTTGTTATTTTAATTTTTTTAATCTGGAAAGTTTCAGACATATTCACAAGTAGAGGGTATGTAGAACCAGATGTGTCTGTCACCCAGCTTTAACATTTATTAATACATAGTCCGTTATATTTCTCTATACCCCTCCACCCAGATTATTTTGGAAGCTCTCCCTTTGTCTCCTTTTTCTTTGCAGATTACTGTGGTGTTTGTCCTGTAGATTTTCCTACAGTCTAGATCTTGCTAATTGTATGCATCCATGGTATCATTACCATGTTTCTCCATCTCTCCTCTTTACTATAGATTGGTATGGTATTGATTTACATCTGGAGGTATATGATGTTTGGGCATTTTTCTTTTTGTATTATTAGTGGCCATAGATGATCATTGCCAACATTAATTATTTCTTTAGGGGTTTGTAAAATGGTGATAGTCAAATACTCTCATTCCTTTTTCACTTATCTCACATACTTCTATAAAGAGAAACTTCTCCATATCTAACTGCTTAGTTACCTAGACTTAAAGATTATGTACAGGAAAGGCAGGATAAATGTTTGATTTTTTTTCCACTTTATTTACCATTTTTCAAAAATGAAGTGGTTCTAATGTTCTAAGATGAACAAGTTTCTTTTATTATTATAAACTCATGGATTTAACATATTGCATTTATATTTTTCAGTTATTTAATCAAAAAAGATGAAAATTATCCCACTCCATATGTATTTGATTTTGGAATACTGTTTTAACATCAGTTTATCTGACATGTTAAGAATTGTCTGGACCTCACCTAAGTAAATTTCACTATAAATCTGAATAACTGGTTTTTCTTATTCTTTAATTTCAGTTCTTAAACTCGTTTAATGTAAATCAGGTAATTGTTTTAGTTTGAAAGTCTTTCACTTTAAACTTAGGAAATTTTTATGGATAAAAATGAATGAACAAAGAAGCGAGAGTAATAGTTATATAATTCAGCCTTCTTGTTTTGCAAATGAAGAAACAGGCCCAGGAAATTTGCCCCTTTCATATGGTAACATTGGGTTTAGTAGTTTAGCCACAAATGAAGTTGATGTCTCTAGACCCCAGTTTATTATATTTCCCCTCTATGTCCACATCCCCAGCACTGTGTGCTTCCACTAAACCACATAAATAATGCTGCTGATCTACCCGAGGATAATCTGATAATGAAAAGTAGAAGATACTTGATTATACTTGGAATTATAACATGTGACAAATTTTTTGACTTGAGAAAAATCTGACAGTACTGGCTATTTATAATGTTTACCAGCCTATAATTTTTTGTCATGAATAATTTTTATCTCTTTTAGAATTCATTGTTATTCACAATGGCATTATCACCAACTACAAAGACTTGAAAAAGTTTTTGGTAAGTAAAGTGACCCAAAAAGACACAGGCTTTGAGAAAGTTCTAATGAAAGTAGTGAAGTGGTTTGTTGAAATGTGCAGCACCATCTAGGTATGATCAAATAATGGTTACAAGGGTATGTGGTTTACTGGACTTGTCTTTGTTGACAGTGAAATAGTTTTGTTTCTTATGTGAATAGGAAATAATTATTGGCTTTATTATAAATGACCCCAAAACTCGAATAAAATTGGAATTTGGGGTGGGGAGGACATCTTTTGCATTGTGAGAGACCTTATCATTTTTAAAAGATTCTGGGATATATAAAAAGAATTAGGACAGATTAAATGAAGTTTCTCTGCCCTAAATAGCCATGTACTATATAGTAATAGTCATAGTGATGACCTTCCTGAGTGCCTCTTGGGGCTGTCCAATTGAAATATCTGCGGCGCTGGGAGCCTGTATCTGTGCTGTCCAATATAGTAGCCAACACCCACATGTGGTTATTGGTCTGCTGTGACTGAGCAACTAAATTTGAAATTTTATTTCATTTTAATCGGTTTAAATTTATTTTTATTTTTTTAAATTAAATTTTTAAAGATTCTATTTTTATTTTTTTAAGATTTTTTATTTATTTGTTTGTCAGAGACAGCGAGAGAGGGAACCAAGCAGGGGGAGTGGGAGAGGGAGAAGCAGGCTTTCCGCTGAGCAGAGAGCCCGATGCGGGGCTCGATCCCAGGACCCTGGGATCATGACCTGAGCTGAAGGCAGACGCTTAACGACTGAGCCACCCAGGAGCCCCTAAAGATTCTATTTTTAAATAATCTCTGCAGCCAATGTGGGGCTCAAACTTACAACCCTGAGAGTAAGAGTCACATGCTCTACTGACAAAGCCAGCCAGGTGCCCCCTAATCAGTTTAAATTTAAATAGCCGTATATATGGGGCGCCTGGGTGGCTCAGTCCGTTAAGCGGCTGCCTTCTGCTCAAGTCATGATCTCAGGGTCCTGGGATTGAGACCTGCGTGGAGCCCCGAGTCAGGTTCCCTGCTCATCAGGGAGTCTGCTTCTCCCTCTACCCTCCCACCCCCCCCATGTTCTTTCTCACTCTTGCTCTCTCAAATAAATAAAATCTTAAAAAAATAAAAAAAATAGTCTCTATAGCTAATGACTATTGTGTTGGATAGTGCAATTTCATTATCCACAAAAGAATCATTATATTCATTATGGAATTATTGTTTTGTGACTGTTATATATTATACTTTAATTATTTAAAATGTTATTAATTTGTATGTGGCATATATATAGATTTATATAATTATAAGTGTATATTCAAAATTACACAAAATACCTCACCATTTTGGGTACACCATGATTAGATGGTGACTTTAATTTTGAACAATGGGTAATGGGGTATGGTGTTGAAAAAATATTAGAAATTGGTTAGTGAAATTTTTGAGGAAAAAAATTCTGTAGGAAAGATTTGGATATCATGACTATTTCCTTAAATGTGTCAAATTTTTTTTTCCCTTTCTAATTTCAGGAAAGCAAAGGCTATGACTTTGAATCTGAAACAGACACAGAGACAATTGCCAAGCTTGTTAAGTACATGTATGACAATCGGGAAAGTCAAGACATCAGTTTTACTACCTTGGTGGAGAGAGTTATCCAACAATTGGTATTAAACCACACTTTATAATTATTGCCAGTGTTAATCACAACAAACTCTTAAAATTAAGATAAGCAGAAACTATACTAATTTCTTAAATATTTTTGGCTTTTATTTCCTATATATATATTAATATTCAGCTTGAATAATTTTGAGAGACTGTTTGACCCCCTTCCTTCCCACACACTTAAAATTCTACTTCTTTCACTATAGTTTAGTGTCATGGGAATTAAAAATAATCCAAAATCAAAGAGTTTGTCCAAAAGCTATGTGTGCGCACACATACACACAAACCTAAACATACCACCCAAACATGAATATGATAGACACAGTCGGGGTTCATCGCTTTCTTCCTACTCACTCAAGTATTCTTTTCAGTCAGTAACTTAGCACAAGGGTATCTTCAGTAAAATGCACACTCTACCATGGGATAATGTCTGCATGTCTCTGAGCCAGTATAGTCAACTCCTCGTTTTCCCTTATGGGGACTTTTCCTTGGCCTCATAACACCGTAGTAAAGTATTTCCCAGCCCAAGAAAAAAATGGCCTTCTTTTTGATCCCATCACAGTTGTCCTAGTTAAAGATTAAAGATACCAAAGATCCACAGAAGTCCAAATGCATTGTGATTTCTGCCCCCATCCCCATTCATAACTCTAGTTTTCCCATTTAGAAGCCCTTCACTTCCTTCTGAAGGTCTAACCCTCACTTCCTCCCTCTACTCAAATCTGATGATACCTGCAGCAAATGGATGAGTCAGGAAGATGGAGAAGATAGAGGCCTGTTCCTTCCCTTTACTCAAGGCAGAGTACTGTGCCTTTCCAGCCTTTTCTTGTTTCTACTCATTATATAACCCAGTCTGTGTTCTCTCCTACCTCGTGTTCCTCTTTTATTCACTCTTGATTGCCTTAGGCCCGGTCCCTGAGGAGGTTGGTTTGAGGAGGTGGTATGATAATGCATGTTAATAATTGTGGTTGTGTATATTTTTATCTCCAGTATCAAGGTCAACAAGCATGGAAGTTAGCAGTGGTGTAAAATCACTGGACCGGAGAATAGGTTTTGGATATTGAGCTTGGAATCTTTTCTAATTCTCTCTTCCCTGCATTCTAATGCATAGTATGGGAGATAGGATGTATCTGTTGAGAAACAGGTCCAAAATAGTCTGCTGTGGAGCTGTTATCTATTGAGTATATTTCAAGAGTGGGCTTGGTTAAAAAGTGTGTCTTGGATACACCAAACCTCAGGAATAAGTGTCTACTGAAATTTTAGACTTGTTTATAACCTACTGCCAAAGAGCAGCGTGTAAACAAAAAATTTCTGTGCTGAAGCCAATATGTTTTAGGCATTTCACATTTGATAATTGATTATAATAAATATTGCTAATGCATTTTTTTCCCCTCTAGGAAGGTGCTTTTGCACTGGTATTTAAAAGTGTTCATTTTCCTGGCCAAGCAGTTGGCACAAGGTACATACAAATTTAATAATGACTAATAATTATATGTATTTTGAAACATCTGAATTATAAGTTGTGTTTTCTGTACACAATGATTACCCTTTCACTGTAAAGACTTGCCCTTTCTCAGAGATGCCATGTGAATATATTTATTTTCATATGTTCTTCCTTGTCCGTTTTTCACCACTCTTCCATTTAACAGAATCTGTTAATAAAGCAAATATATTTTGGCATTTGTAACTGGCCTTTTATCTGTAGTGGGACACCATGGTTACTTTGTGAATTTGGATACTGAGTTTTCTCTAGTTTCAGGCCCCAAACATTAACTTTCTCCATATTTTTTGGAAGTATATATTCCAAAAAGATTCCTAGATCATTGTCCCATCGTTACTTTTGCGAAGCTGTTTAGGCCTGATCATGACGTCCTTTTTAGTAGGACAGTGAGAAGCCGTAATATTTGGCAAGAAAGCTGTTTTTTTTTTTTTTTAGAGATTTTATTTATTTATTTGACAGAGAGACACGGTGAGAGAGGGAACACAAGCAGGGGGAGTGGGAGAGGGAGAAGCAGGCTTCCTGCTGAGCAGGGATCCCCATGTGGGGCTTGATCCCAGGATCCTGGGATCATGACCTGAGTCGAAGGCAGTCGCTTAACGATTGAGCCACCCAGGCGCCCCGAAAGAGCTATTTTTAATATGAAGGCAAGGTGACTAAGGAGAAAGTGCTAAACATTCATCAGAATTCCGTGTACAGTTGAAAGGAAGGTTCCATTTGACATTTTAAAAAGGAGAAACATTTCAAATACACTGTTCTAGAACAGGCATTGGCAGACTTTTCTGTAATGGGCCAGAGAGTAAATATTTTAGCCTTTCTGGGCCATATGGCCTCTGTAGCACCACAGTTTTGCTATTGTATCTGAAAGCAGCCATAGAAAATAGGGAAAAGAAAGAGCATGGCTGTGTTCCAGTAAAACTCTTGTGTAACAAAAATAGACAGACTTGGCCTCGGGAGCATAGTCTGCTGACCCTGTTACTATTTTTTAAAAATTCTGTTTATGTTATTCTTTTGTTATACCTGAAGTTGAGCTTAGAGGGAAAATTTAAGCATTACTTGACGAGTGTTGGCTCATGAAAATTTGTATTTGTGTATTATTTATGAAAATGATTTAATTCTGTGTAATTTTGCACTAACAGACGAGGTAGCCCTCTTTTGATTGGTGTACGAAGTGAACATAAACTCTCTACTGATCACATTCCAATACTCTACAGAACAGGTAAAAACTCTTCCTATGTCATGCCAAGAGGAAACTATAAATTTGAGTGCAGTAGATATAAAGAATTGTGTTCATTAAATTGAAATAAATGCCTTTTTGGTCAGATCCACACATATGTGTATATAGTTCTGTCTAGATATGAAAAGGATTTGTTGTTGTGATTTCTCTGACGAGGAGAATTTTTTTCTGTTGTATATCCTTAGCTAGGACTCAGATTGGATCAAAATTCACACGGTGGGGATCACAGGGAGAAAGAGGTGGGAAATGCACTCTGCATGGATGGGGAGGAATCTTATCCTCTTTTGTTCATTCTTTACTAATTCTTTGTTCTTGGAGTGAATGAATGTGCTGGGCCTCTAAAAATGTGCTTTTTTATGGGGGAACATATTTTGACATTTTTCTAATTTGCAGAGTATATTTTGTCTGTCTGCTTTTGGCATTTAGAAAACCGCTTTTGTTTTTTGAAATTTCTGAGATTTGAAATTATAAAGTTTTTTTTTAATTAAAATCGTGAAGATAACATTATTATAAATAAGATGTTTAGATTGGGAAAAGAACATTGTGTGCTAGGCTGTTGTAGACTGAATTCAGTGGTAGTTATTTAATTTATCCTAACTTTTTACTAAATTACGTTTAAATGATCTTTATTTTATGCATGACATTTTACTTTTAGATTTACATTCAACATCTTGATTGCCTTGTTTGAAGTTGGAGTCTTTTTTTTGTTTGTTTGAAGTTTATTTTTCTTTATAGGACTTTCAGCCATACAAATTCTGGATCATTTTATTGATATAATTAGACAGAAAACAAATGGCATGCTCTTTTCATTTACTTATCATTAAAAGATTTCCAAGTAAAAGGGAGTGGTAAATTCAGAAAATTGAAACCCCTATTATTAACGTATAATTCTTGGTTTCTTGAAAAAAAATTAGCAAAGGACTCTAAACCTGTTCATCTTTAGATAGTGGCTGCTTTAGCTCTTTTATCTAAAACAGAAAGTTTGTTCCTTACGTAGCCTTCAGTCATGAAATATTAGGATTTCTTCTTACCCTCTCTCTCCTTCCCTTTTCAGAAGAAAAACTAGTTTACCAGTAAGAGTACAGGATTTTGGATCCAGAGTTCCAGATTTCTGTTAATAATCCTGCTCTTGAATACATTACTTTTATGTTACCTTGTACATTTTCTTAGGCTGCTCTTAGAAAAAAAAAATGGAAAAACGTTGGCTAAGGTCTTAAGAAGTTAGAATAAAAACTTAACATGAGACATCTTTTTAAGATTATGAATTACATTTTAGTAACCTTTATTTCTCTAGCTCCTAGTAGGTAGATAATGTGTGGCTCAGCAAAGTTTAGTTTCAAAAGTTTAGCCTCTTATTGAAGAGTCTGTCTAAAGGGGGCTTTTAGATTTTTGCTATTTTCTCCAGGTGTAACTACTGACAGAATAAGGGGGGGGGGGGATGGTAATGATTGTGTTCCACTCAAATCAGATGAGAAAATCGATGTACAGCAAAACATTTTATAGATTGTAAGAGTCCTATAGGTATCAGGTGGTAATGTTCTTTTCATTTAAATAGGCAATGATATCTTAATCCCTTCTAGGTATAATAATAAAATATACCTTGTTACTTGAAAAATAAATATCTGGAGAAGGAATGTAGTGAAACTTGACACCATCAGGGCATTGTATAACTTAAAGCTGGTTGTATTTATTTTGAAAATATCAGTGCTAAGCTATCCTTCTGTATATTTTTTAATTCCTGATGTAATTTTTTACATCAGGAAAATTCACTCTTTTTGATGTGCAGTTTCATGAGTTTTGTCAAGTGCAAACAGTTGTATAACCACCATGATCAAAGTACAGAACAATTCCATCCCCATGAAAGTTCCCTCCAGCTGGAGCCTTGTAGCCAGTCCTTGTTCCCATACCCAGGCCTTGGCAAACACCGATCTGTTTTCTCTTTTTGTAGTCATAGGATGTCATCTTATACGTATTTTTTAAAGTGTGATACCTTTTTTTGCTATCGAATTTGGATGGAAAGAGCTAAAGAACTGTTTTATTTTCATGTCTAAAACACATCATACTAGCACGATTGCGGAGGACTTTGGATGTACATTATAAGCAAGTCTTTCTAGACGTGCATTTTAGAGGATAGATACAATATGAATTTTTACAAGTATATTTATTGTGTCCTCTGGCCATTGTGTCCATAGTTACAAGGTCTGTAAATGTCCTGATCTCAGAAAAAGGTGCTTTTTTTTTTTTTTTGGTCTCTGTGACATTTATATAGTCTTCAATTAATGGATTCCTCCCCCTATATTTGGCTAATTTGTCAAACTTCACTTTGCTTTCCAGTTTTGACTTTTGTTGTAAATGAGCAAAAAGGAAAAAAATTCTTCATTCATGACTTGACAAATTAAATAGAGCTGCCAGAATTCTAAAGTTCTAGGATTAAAAGGATATTATTATTGCAGAAGGACCGTATTTTATCCTAATTTAAAAGAAATATAAGAAAACCCAATTTTAAGAAAGAAGAGGTTCTAGGTTTATGATATTTCCGGTCCTTAGCAGTAGGTGCCACATATGGTATATGATGGTTAGAGAATTATAAGTATCTTTGTTTTGTTTTGAAATCAGAATTAGTGTAGCCTACAACTTGATTTGTTGTGCTGACTTACTGTTAAAATCTAGAGTTTTAAGATAATAAAAATTAATATGCCATCAGTCTTCATTTTATTCATTGCACAATTTTGATATTTTTAATGTAATTTTTATGATAAGCTTAGTTACATAAACTTATATGTATTCTATCAAGTTTTGTATGAAGTTAAATTAAAATTAGGTGATACATACTTTGAGTGATATTAGTGAATTATTTGCCTTTTACCTGGAAAAGAAATACTCTGTTTTAAAATTTGTAATGTAGCACTCTTACCTGCCATGCTCTCTTGGATAGTTGCTGTTTCACTCTATACTTTGTGTCTGTTGTTCTTGTTGGCTTTTTGCATGGAAATAAGGTGATCAACCTAGCATCTTAAAGTTGCTGAAATTATTTTGTGTTGCTATGGTTTTTTGTTGATTTTATAGAAAATTAGGTCTATTTACACATTGGCCATGGTTTCCCACATGATTGCTGATTTGTGTTAACTCCGTGCTCTAGGGAAGGACAAGAAGGGAAGCTGCAGTCTCTCTCGTGTGGACAGCACAACTTGCCTTTTCCCTGTTGAAGAAAAGGCAGTGGAATATTACTTTGCTTCTGATGCGAGGTGAGCTTCCTTCATTGGTTCAGAAAATTTCAGTAAAACTTCTCATGTTACTGAAACCAAAAGTCATTTTGTACCTATCTAGTCATCCCGTGTGGGAGAATTTTGTCGATTAGGGAAAATGTAGGTGTCCTTCTTGGAGATGGGGTTCTAAGAATACTTTTCCTCTCAATTCAAAGCCCGTAGGTCAGTTTATTGAGAAAAGAGAACAGTCCTTGAGACTTGTTCCTGCATATTTACTCTGAGCTCTTGTATTATTTTTCCTCTTCTTTCTGGAGCCTTACCCAGGTTTTTATGGGGAGGAGAGATTTTAGATTGGGGAACAGAATGGCTTAGTGTCCCACCAATTACAGTATGCTTGCTAAACCATTATAGTTTTAGTCCAATAAAGACACTTGCCTTTTTTAATTCGGAAGTAATTTGCAACATAATCATTTTTATAAAAGAAATAGTACTAGACTAAGACATTTAGAGCGAGAAATACCGTGGGATGTGTAGATGCATTTGTAAATGGAATACTAACAGTGATGAGGATCGAGTGGAATCAAGTTGCCAGCAAGCATTTGAGTCCTTCGTTGTGCCTGAAAGTGAGGGGATCTGAAGATGAGAAAGTGTCGTAGCTTAGGACTGCCGGGAATGCATCATCTCTGTGGGAGAATAAGCTTCACTGTTTCCTAATCTTTGCAGGAGTGTAGTCAGTGCTAGGATGTATCATTGTTGTCATTAAGTAGGTTTGTTACAGAATTGTTATGGCTTTAATAAACTGGAAATTGCAGAAGCTTATCATCCTTTTGTCATTCACTCATACGTTCATATTGAACATTCTGAGCAAAGCCATGTGCTAGGCTTAGGAGATAATTGTGAGTAAAAATGAAAATATACTTGTCCGAGGAGGGCCTGGCTGGCTCAGTCAGTGGAGCCTGTGACTCTTGATCTCAGGGTTGTGAGTTCGAGTCCCACGTTGGGGGTGGAGATTACTCCAAAAAAAATAAAATCTCAAAAAAAAAAGATATGTAGGGCGCCTGGGTGGCTCAGTTGGTTAAGCGACTGCCTTCGGCTCAGGTCATGATCCTGGAGTCCCAGGATCGAGTCCCGCATCGGGCTCCCGGCTCGGTGGGGAGCCTACTTCTCCCTCTGACCCTATCCCCTCTCATGCTGTTTCTCTCTCTCTCTCTCTCTCAAATAAATAAATAAATAAAATCTTTAAAAAAAAAAAAAGATATGTATGTATATATATTATAAACGCTTGTCCTTGAGGAGCTTTTCCTTAATGGAGAAGACAAATTTTAATCAATCATACAAGTATAGAATTCCAACTGTGACAAGAGCGACAGAATGCCTGTAACAGGGTGACTTACCCTCCTATGGGTGAATTTCTTTAAGGGAGTGACACTTGAGAGATGAGATGTTAGGAGTTAGGTGAAGAGGTAGAGGGAGGAACATTTTCTGCAGATCAGTCTGTGAAAGCTCGGGATGGGTGTGAGTATGTCTGGAACAGAGGAAGTTTGGTGGGAGAGGAGGCTAGGGAAGGAGGTAGGGTGTGTTCAAGTGTTTTGTTGTTTTCAGAAAAGCCAAAGGAAAGCCATTAAGTGGTTTGTTGGGTGAGAGAAATGTTGGTTTGAGTTACCTGTTGGTACTCATTTTGGCAGAAACAGAGAATGGATAGAGGGGGGACTGTGGTTGGATAAGTTAGCAGGTTGCTGCAGTAGTTCAGCCAAGAGCTGATGGTAGCTTGAACTGGCTTGTGGTCGTGGACATAGAGAGAGGCTTTGAGAAATATTTAGGAGTTAAAATTGAAGGATTTTCGGGATAGAATGAGGAGGAAATAGCCACGGTTTCTGATTTGTTCGAGTCTAATTTGGTGTAGGGTGCTGCACAGAGATTCTTTTGTTCATTGTCCACAGTCACTGCCCACTGCCCTGTAGGGAATGGCTTTAGTAACCAGAAAGTTATCAGAGATACTGCAGGATGATAGATTTGTATTTTTTATTTTATATTATTTTTAAAGATTTATTTATTTATTTGAGAGAGAGAGGGAGAAGCAGAATCCCCGCTGAGCGCGGGACGACCCTGAATCATGACCTGAGCCGAAATCAAGAGTCACATGCTCAACTGACTGAGCACCCAGGTGCCCCAAGTTTGTATTTAAACTTGGTCCGTGTGTCCTAATGATGGTTTTATTTATAATAATCATCCTTGATTATTGATTGTAATATCTTCTTGAACATTTTATAGCGCCGTCATAGAACATACCAATCGTGTCATCTTTCTTGAAGATGACGATGTTGCAGCGGTGGTGGATGGCCGTCTTTCTATCCATCGGATTAAACGAACTGCAGGAGACCACCCTGGACGAGCTGTGCAGACCCTCCAGATGGAACTCCAGCAGATCATGAAGGGTGAAAGTTTTTGTCATGTGGTAGCTTGGTGTTCTTAATGGAAAGGAGACCTTCTACTTGCTGTGGTAGTGTAGGAATCTGGTGACACAGTGTTGACTGAAATCTTCCACACGATTAGTGAGGGGAGAACCCCAGGAAAAGGGATGATTCTTTGGAAAAATTACCTGCTGGTCTTAAAGTAGTTCTTCAAACTAATTTGTGGTTTGTTGTTTCTAACGTTAAAAAAGAGATTGATTATTTAAATAGTAGTTGATATTTTTAAGATACTTTATAAGCATAGTTTGTGTTCTGTTCTTTATTCCTCTCTTATTCTTTCTGTGCTTCAGTTTTCTCATATATAAATAAATGGGGATAATAGGACCTGCCTCATTAAGGTTGTTTTGAGGATGAAGAGAGCTAATTGATGTATAGAGCCTTCAGAATAGTGCCTGACACACTTAGGCCTACATAGTGTTTGCTGTTGTTAACTGTTAAGATTATTTGCGGTCATGATTTTTATTCTCCTTTCTGATGGGGTCGAGGTGGGCTAAAAGCTAACATTTATTGCATAACTGCTACATGTCAGGTCTCTCCTATATTAACACACTACAGTGCTGTGAAATAGTTGCTGTTCTTATTTTACAGATGAAGGAATTTCCCTAGAGCCATTTAGGTGTTCAAGGATAGAACCATAATTTGAACCTAGATCTGACTCAGACTTAAGTCTGTACCCCTCCTCTGTTTTGTTCTAACGGCATATTTTAGGTATGAAGTTAAGAAAGCGCGTTTTCCTCATTTTTCTTCACATAGGGCAAAATGTCATATGTGAATATTGTACTCTCTTGCGTGAGCTCTTGTTTCATTTACTGAGATTATGTCACAAAAGGTAGACTTTAGTTGGTACAGATTTCTTAATTACATGAATTAATGATATAATTTATGTTACTTCAGGTAACTTCAGTTCATTTATGCAGAAGGAAATTTTTGAGCAGCCAGAGTCCGTTGTGAACACGATGAGAGGAAGAGTCAACTTTGATGACTATACTGGTAATTAAATTCACATTATTATTTCGGAGCCTCCTGTGGGTTTGGCCTCAGCACCCTGAACGCTCAGTGCCCTTGATAGCCTCCCAGAAAGCGGTGGCTGCCAGCCGCCAGCGGTGCCCTCTTACAAGCCTTCCCGTATATTATTCCACTGAAGTGAGGTGCACTAGAGTCGTCAGAGACGTAGAGACAGAAGGTCGATGAGTGGTTGCCAGGGGCAGGGAGAGGGGACGAAGAGGGAGTCATTTAATGAGTGTAGGGTTTCAGTTTGGGAAGATGAAAAACCGTTCTGGGGACGGACGGTAGTGATGGTTGCACACCAGTGTGAATGTGCCTAATGCCATGGAGCTGTACACTCAAAAATTGTTAAAATGTTAAATTTATGCTACGCAGTATTTTACCGCAATAAAAAAGGGGAGATAATAACTAATGGTTGCCAGAGGCTGAGGGGACGGGGGTGGAGAGTGATGCTAGTGGCTGTGGGGTTTGGGACAGGTGATGAAATGGTCTAAAAGTAGATAGTGGTGATGGTTGCACAACTCTGAATATACTGAAAACCACTGATCGTACACTTTAAAAGGGTGAATTCATGGTGTATGACATATCTTAATAAGGTGGTTATAAAAAATGTAAAAACTGGCTGGAAAGTCACAATGGAAAATTGTCAAAGGAGTATTAGCATGATTTTCCTGGAGGGGGGCGTGTCCTCCAGTGTATCATTAAAAACATTTAACTTCTTTTCACTTCAGAAAACCTTTAGTGGGCACTTGCTATGTAGCAGGGATTGTTCTGGGCACTGTAAATTCCAAGAGTAGTGAGACCTGGTCCTCTCTTTGGGCAGCTTGAGATGCAGTTGCCACTTAGGATGTTGTCCTGTCTGGGCTGAAGCGATGGGGAAGGGGAGAAGAGAAGCAGGACGTGTATCTGCGGATGTGGGGAGAGGGGGCTGTTAAAGGCGGTTGAGCCGGAAGAACTGGGAGAGCAGCAGTAAGGGCCACCTATGGTATTTATGGAAGAAGGATCCGGAAAAGGATTTATTTCACAAGGGAAGACAGATAAACTTTCAGAAATTGAGAATTTTAAAAAGCACTTTTATCGATGTTATCTCCTTCTCCTTCATAAACGTTCTATAATGCAAACAGGATAGCTGTTATCTTTTTTTATTGTTAAGGAAATTGACGCTCTGTCAGTTTGATCATCTTGCCAGAGGTCACATTGCTGATCCTTTGTGGAGCCAGACTAGCCTCTGGTATTCAGCAGTGTTCCTGAACATGCTCCATCCCTGCTCCTGTCCTCTGGGCACTCTTGCTGCTTCTATTTTTGTTTTTTTTTTTAAATATTTTTTTTATTTATTAGGGAGAAAGGGGGGGCAGGGAGAGAGGGAGAGGGAGAAGCAGACTCCCCACTGAGCAGGGATCCCGATGTGGGGCTCGATCCCAGGACCCTGGGATCATGACCTGAGCCAAAGGCAGACG